ATTCATTCGGATGCTGGAGGAAGAGCGTTCTGAGAAGGAAAAGCAAATACCGGGGCCCTGAGATAGGAGGGCCTTGGCAGGGTGTGGGAATGGACAGAAAGCAAGTGTGGGTGGCATTTAGTGAGCAAAGTGGAGCGCGGAATGATATGAGCGGGTAGACAGACGCCAGGTTAGTCAGGGTCTTTCTGAGTAAACTTTAGGAAAACCACTCTAGGGTTTAAACACAAGATGTAATAATGTGAAGAGCACTTTGGCTGCTAATGGCCTAATGAAGGGTGCAAATGCGTAAGCTGGGAGACCAGTTAGGAAGCTGTCACAGTGGTCTAGGCTGGGGGTGGTGGTGGATGAGGCGAGGGCACTGCGGAGTCTGAGAAAAGGAGATGGATTCAGATGTTTATTCGAGAGTGAATTCATGGGACTAGCTGGTGGGTTAGAAATAGGCAGGTAATTAAGGGGAAGAAAGTAGAAAGTGAGGACTTAGGTTTCCGACTAGTGATTGAATAAAAGATGGTCCTATTAACTGAGGGAGAAGTCTGGGGAAAAATAATTTTGCGGACAGAAATTAAAACAGTTAATTTTGGACATGTCAAGTTTAAGATACCTTTGTGAATGGACATATCAAGTAATTAGGGGCGTGTGCATGTGTGTATTTATAACATAAATCTGAAACTCATAGGGGAAGTTCAGGCTGAAGATGTTAAATATGGGTGTCCACAATTGTCTGTAGATGGAGAAGAAGGTCCAGGAGAGAACTCAGAAACACTAACGTTTATTGGAAGGGAAGAGGAAGAACCAGAATTTGAAGGAGACCGAGGAGGACTCTCCACAAACTTCCTTTCCACGGGAAGGATAACAAGAACGGTGTATTCCGGAAGCTAAGTGAAGAAGACGGAGAAATGATCTGATACTTTAGATAAGTCAAGTAAGGGGAAGACTGTGGGGAAAAAGAAGGCGAATAGGATTTAATAACACAAAAGAGACTGATGTCTTTGTCAGAAGCAGTCTTATAAGAACTGTGTCAGCTGAGGAGGGAGTGTCGATAAAGAAGGATTCAGCCCTTCAAGGGAACTGTGGGTACTACTGAGATGATCTCTCTACTCACAGGTTAGAAGTCTGAACTTCTTTAAAATACTTGTTACTAGTATATTCATTTTTTTTACAGACAGTCCTGTGTAGAATTCTAGTTCATGGAGAAAAATAAAATATCACAGGTAAGCATATCACACTCCTTTTAGCAGCATTGTGTAGGAAATATGCAGGCCCTTTAGCAGGTAAGACCTTTTTATTTTCTTTGGTAAGTAGCTTACAGAATCAAGAAGATGATTTGAAACTCCATTTTTCAAATTACAGTATCTAAGAGCTGCGGGGTCACACTTTTTTCCAGGGTATAGGACTTTCATTGCTAAAACTGAGATAGACCCTGGCAACCTGGACAGTTGGTCACCCTACCTGACAGTGTTTTTGACCTTCTCACAGATTAAAGCCTTTGACTCTTAGGAGAGATTGAAAAAAGGATCCAGGTAGAATTTCACGTGCCCTCTGCACGACCGCTTTCCTGCTCCTGAAGGTCTGCACCAAATGGACGTTTTCTTAAGATTTCCTCTTTTACCACCTTCTGTGCCTGGTGGGGTCTCTGGTGAAAGAATCTGCAAGAAAGTGCAGACTCCCCTAGTTTCTGTGTACACTAGTGCCTTCCCACTGGCCCGCCAGCCTGCACCCTGCCTTCACCTGTTCCCGTGCTGTCCTAGCTGTACCCTCTTAGGGTGTCTGGTTGCACTGACCCCAAGTAAAGCAAGTGCTAACGTCCCCTCTGTCCTTCAGGTGCTTGCCTCTCTTTTGATTTAGGCCAAGCTGTTTGCTCTGTGACTGCAGTTCTCTTATGGGTTGGGTTAGAAATAGGTCCTGAATTTGAATTTAGTTTGACTTGGTTTCATGTAAGGGTGGTAGCAGTGCTCTTTGTGGCTCTCCACATCCCACGGCGGAAACTCCGCTTCCCAAAGTTGAAAGTACATATAAAACCATGTGGGAATCTATCTTACTGGAATGCAGGGTCTCTTTCAGTAGGTGTCAGACAGGGCCAGAGACCGCATTTCTGATGTTTCTAGTGGTTTCGAATGCCTCAGATCCAGGGACTGTGTTCTTCTGAGTAGCAAGGTTATAGAAGGTGGTTTTCTTTTGGTCTTAAGGTGGGAGAGAGGTAAGGTCACATATAAGGTCTATATCCACCCGTGTAATATGAAAAATAGAGACACTTACTGAAGAAGACACAAGATATAAGACACATTGTCCATAGTCAATGACGCCTTGGTCCCCTTCAAAGTCTGCACCTTGGGACCTCACACGGTTCTTCCAGTGTCCCTTCCACTGTTCAAAATACTCTGCAAAATCCTTTGTCAGAATTGCTGTCAGCTGCCCTGTTGTATTTCCCTGAATCTCATTGATGGTCTGAAATCTCTTTCCTTTCAAAAGTGATTTTAGTTTTGGAAAAAGCCAGAAGTAACAGGGTGCCAAATCTGGGCGGTAGGGGAGCTGAGTCACCTGGGTGATTTGATGTCCCCCCCCAACAAATTGTGCATGAGATGCAATTCATGGGTGGGTGATGAAGCTGCCCATAGCTGCAGCTGTCTGTGCCGTATTACCCCCTCAACTGACGAGGAATATTGAGGTAGCACTCCTTGTTAATTGTTTGGCTGGGAGGGGTGTACCCTTGATGTACAACACCTTCCCAACCGAAAAACACAGTTAACATGGTCTTGGTCTTGCTGTGACTTTGCCGTGTCTTCTTCAGGTGTGGAGAACAGGTGACTTCTACTGAGATGACTGGGCCTTTGTTTCTGGATTGTTAGCAACTGCAGCACAATGTTCCTTCTTCCCTGGTAGCAGAAGCCACAAAATGGGTTTTGCTATAACATGTTTCATGCCAAGCTCCTGTGTCAAAATCAGGGACACAGTAGTTTTGGAATCCTCCGGTCAGCTTCTGCTCCTCCCACATCAGTCGGTGATCCTTGTTGATTGCAGCCGTACACATTCACCATTCTCAGGTGTTCTGCTTGTTGCAGGCTTCCAGAACACGGACTGCTTTCAGCAGATTCTTGACCATCTTTAAAGTGTTTGTGCCACACGTTTATTTGTGCTGCACTCATTGCATTGTCTCTGAAAGCCTTCTGAATCATTCGAGTAGTTTCTGCAAAGGAATATTCAAGCTTAATGCAAAATTCGATGCAGCTTCATTGCTCTACTCACTCAGTCATTTTGAATGTGTTGGCCACACAGTACACATGCTCACTCAATGGCACCTACCGTGCCCACTGACTAGTACGGTGAAGTCATTGTTCACACGTGCACATTCCAGTCCACTCTCCTTGGCTGCCAGCTTACACTAATGTCACAAAAACAATTCTCGTTACATTAACAGTGGCTGGACTTTTCCCGGACAGACCTCATCGACAAGCTCAGGCATGTTTGAATTGTGAAAGGAGCCAGGCAAACAGATAGGAGAATGATAATGTAAGATGTGGTCTTTTGGTGACGTGGCAGAATGTCATGTTTATGTGTGAGAAAGATCTGGTTTAAAAAACATTACCCAATTTTTTTTTCCCCAAAGAGCCTTCTTAAAGACATTAGAAAAACTGTTAATTGATAACATTGATTTTATAGCTATACAATGAGAACTTTTTAGTGTAACTGTACTTTTTCCACTTAACTTTACATTACTTTTTAAATTTTGAAACAATCAAAAATTTACAGAAAAGTTTTAAGTGTAGTACAATAAGAACTACCCCACGCCCACCCCCGGCCTCCAGACTTTTGAGAATATGGTGCTAACACGATGCCCTGTTATATCTGTCACGGGTTAAGTTCCTTGGGAAGCAGTCTCTGGGACAGCGATTAGCATGCAAGACATTTGTTGAGGAAGTGAGGTTGGAATCCTAACCTTAGGCAGAAAGGAGGGAAGCAGGTTTGGGCAGAGGTGGGAGTAAAGTTATGTAATCTCAGTGGAAGCCTCAGCTGACCCTGTTTCTAGAGGCAGAATGACCTTTCAGTGTTGTCCTGAGTTGGGTTGGAGGTCTGGGCCTCTACCTCTGTGGAAATGAGCTATCGGACTCGATTTCACAGAGGCGGATTGCCCGGGGCAGGGGCGGAGCTTTGGGCGGGGCAGCATCCTTCAGCTGAGGCAGACTTTCCAATACGTGGCAATGTCCAACTGCTGCCGTTTGAGAGACCAGCTAGGCAGCCGGAGGAGCCTGGGAAGGGGATGAAAAGGATGAAGATGTTCCAGAGGCGTTGACTCTGCCACAAACCTCACACTAAAGGACTCTCGGAGATACTTTAAGACATTGAAGATAAACAGGATAAAATGTGTAAGCCAATCCAGACGCAGAAAGGAGTGTGGCAGTTCACCGGGCCCGGGAAAGAGTCCTGCTCCGTCTCACTCACGTCCTGTGCCGAGATCACTGCACTGCTGAAGCTGCTGCCTTTGATAAATTTTTATGAAGAAATAATAAAACTTTAATCATCAGTGTTTCTAATATTTTAAATTATGGCATACTAAAGAAACATTAGTTTTACTATTTCAGAATTTCTTTATATTTCTAACTGTTGGTCGAGGAGTTTTTAAATATTTTTCAATGCACTGTAACTGACATATATGAGTTTCAGATGTACAGGATAATAATTTGATATTTGTATGTATTGCAAAATGATCACCGTGGTGAGTCTGGTTAACACCTGTCAGCGTACATAGTTCCGGACTTTTTTTTCTTGTAAGAAGTTTTAATATTTGGAAAAAATATTTTAAAGGTCACAGAACAATCGCGATCGTCTCCATTTTGCGGGGTTTCAGCTTGCATTGGCATGTTAAGGACCCCATGCTATTGTGCGAAGTGAGGACTGCCTATACTCTAGCAGGATTCACTCCAAAGTCTCTCACACACTTCTTATCTATGCAAATTTCGTTTACTTCATCGCTTGAATACATTTTGATTTTAAAATATTCTTAGCAGGCAGATATCCCAAACCCGAGATTGCCATTGTGAAGCCCGCGAAGAAGGCGTCATCAGCAGAGGTCCCGGGTAGTTTTGGTAATAGTGCAATCTCAACAGTGCCGAGTGCTCGTTAGACGTGTGTTGCAACTAGCACAGCACCTATACGACAGACCTTTGGACTTCTTGCTGGTTTGAAATAGCATGCTTTAGTTATAATGATAGTTTTTTTTCTGCATCATTGTTTTAGATTGTCTACAGAATATTTTTTACTGTCTAACCCTAGACTCTGGATAATAATTGCATGTTTAATTAATTGAAGGGTTAAATGTATGACATTAACAAAAGACAAAATCATTTCTATTTCATTATATTTAAATAGTGTGTTTAATGACCCTGGCAAGGTATTTATAAGAACAACAAAGATTATTAATTTCTGTAGGATGAATGAGTAGGAAAAAATACACAGGAAAACCTTCAGAATATATATTGTAAAGAGAAACTGTTTTTAAGTAACTGAACTTCAGGAAAATATATATTTTAGGAATATATTCTTGAATAGTTTGAAAGTCTTATATAATTTCATTTTAAGGCCATTCATGAAAAAAATTTTTTTTTAGATTCACTCTCCATACAGCTTGAGTGAGAGAAGAGAGGGAGGAAGGGAGGTAGGTGGTTAGTTATAAAAATAACTATTTTTCTGTTTCTATTTTATTTTTTATTACTATTTAATATAGGTACATTGCCTAAGAAGCATGACACAGTATATGAAAAGAAATCAGAACTATTTTATGGACCAATTGAAATTTTAAAAAGATAAAGGGTAAATACAACTTAGTTTTCTTAGGCTTTATATGGGGAGGGAAAAAGATTTACGGTTTGTTCGAAGAAGACATGCAAGTTAAATAAATAATAATACAAGAATAAAGGCTGTGTTTTGTGTACTCATAACTATAAACCTACTATTGCCAACCCCTGTGTATAGTGTTGAGCAAAAACCAAACTGTAAGAACTTCAGAGAACTAGAGGCATAGTGTGTGTCTACACACATACATGTATGTATATATTCACATATGAGTACATGTCTGCAAAAAACCCCTGTATACTTTGCCAATTCTAATGTAATTCTAAAATTAAAAATTTTAACCACAGTGTGCATGTAGAAGTTAAAAGTTTAATGCAAAGGCCTTTTGAAGAATAAAGTTTAAATTTTGAATTATTCTGAAGATTGTTTAGCTAGCCCTCATTGTTAGGATAGTGTAGGGAAAAAGAGATTTTTTTTTTTCACTAGGTGGTAAGGTGCTGCTGAGCAATGGCTAAACTGCCAGTAGGACTTTCCTGTCAGTGATCGCCTTCTGAGACTTGGGATTCAGTTGCAGCTCTACTCACTGCAGTGTGTCTTCACGTGTGTTTAGGTGGCGCACCTGACTTTTACACCCTGCTAGTTAGGCAGTAGACTCAGAATTGTAGAGCTAGAAGGGACCTAAATTCATTTTATGTACCATGCAAATGAGATCTTGAGGGTTTATACATTGTAGTACTGTCTCTATACCTAATAAGTTAGAGTAACAAGATCTGTTTTTTAAAAGTTGTGCTGTTATTTTAATCTTAGTCTTTTTTAAAAAGGAATAACGTTGTATATAGTAATTACTTTTTTCTCTTCCTTTGTTGTGAAGGAAAGGAAGGAATATTGCCTCTGTATTAAGAAGTATATATAATTGTCCCAAGTACACAAGTTAGCCATAGAATAGCAACCACTATTCAATAGTATGTTTGATTATCAAAAAAAAAAAACCAACCCTCCATGAAATGATAGCTATAAGAGAAATATGAGTAAATTATTTTGCCTCTAGTGTTCACTTCTTCTTAAGTCAGAGGTAAACAATTAACAGGTTAGTGTACTAATGAGGTTAATAAAGGTGATTCATTGAGCACTGTCACCTTCCTCATCATCACTGCTGGGCAACTTCTGTTCTCAGCTGTTAAGCCACTGGCCCGTCTCAGCCTGGGGATGGCGTAGTTGCCCTTAGGTGAGCTGGACAGCTGTCTAGGTTGCAGAGAAGCCCCAGGTTGTGTGACATGTGTCCCAGAAGGTTAATGAGGTGACAGTATTATGTGATCTCTATAGATTCCTTTACCACATAATGTGCAGGAAACTTGAATGCTAAATAAAATTACAAAATTACACTCAATTTCTTTTTTGGGGTCTTAAAGCATGTTTTAAAATAAATTTCAAAGTTGTTTTATAATTATAGTCTTTATTTTAAAAGACAAAACCTGTTGTTTGAAATTTACTAAGTTAAAAAGTTAAGTTCTGCCCTGGCTGGTGTAGCTCAGTGGATTGAGTACTGGCCTGCCAACCACATGATCGCGGTTCGATTCCCACTTAGGGCACGTGCCTGGGTTGCAGGCCAGTTCCCAGCAGGGACTCATGAGAGGCAACCATACATTGATATTTCTCTCCCTTTCTCCTTCCCTTACCCTCTAAAGATAAATAAATAGAATATATTTTTAAAAAGTTAAGTTCTTTGCTATTTTTATAGGGCATTTTCATTTTCAATGTTGAGTATTAGTTTTTGTATTTCTTAGAGATATTAACTCATTTATTTAAAAAAAATATTGCTCTGTAGCTTCACAAACTGATTTTGGTGCATGTTTGATTTTTTGGCATTTAATATGATTTGCTTAAATTATTTTTCATACAGCATGGTTTGCGCTTTAAGTTTGTATTTTTTAATGTTACATGAGGTCTGTCCAGAAAGCATTCAGCCAAGTAATATGAAAAATAGAGACGTTTCTTGAAGAAGATACAAGATACAAGAAACATTGTACATAGGACGATAATGCCTCAGTCCCCTTCAAAGTCTGCACCTTGGGACCTCACACAATTCACACAATTCTCCCAATCACCATAAGCTGCCCCGTCGTATTTTCCTGAATCTCATGGACAGTCTGAAATCTCTTTTCTTTTAAAGGTGATTTTATTTTTGGGAAAAGCCACAAATCACAGGGCACCATATCTGGGCTGTAGTGGGTCTGAGTCACCTGGATGATTTGATGTTTTGCCAAAAAAAACTGCATGACATGTGATGCATGAGCAGGCATGTTGCTGTGATAAAGCTGCCAATCACCAGCTGCCCACAGCTGCTGCCTTCTGAGTCATCCAAATAGTTTCCATGGAGGAATGCTCAAGCTTCACACAAAATTTGATGCAGATTTGTTGCTCTACTCGCTCAGTCATTTTGAATGTGACGGCCACACAGTACACATGCTCATTCAACAGTGTCTACTGCCCCCACTGACTAGTACAGTGAAGTCCTCATTGTTCACACATGCGCATTCCAGTCCACTCTCCTTGGCTGCCAGGTTTTATCTTGTTCTTGTTATATTAACAATGGCTGGACTTTCTCTGGACAGACCTCATATATTTATTGTAAATTTTACCTCATCCATCAGAACTTTGGTTCTATTTAAAGTCTAAATAGTTATTTATAATGTTCAGAAATATAGCCTCCAAATTATTGCTTAAATGCAGTAGTTTGATCTTTGTCCTTTTTATAACTCTCTTATTAGACCAAATAGTAATTTGTGTTCCCAGGTCTACACCTATATACTTTCTTGGGAAGCTGCTATGGTAGGGCCTGCAGCAAATATTATTAGGTGGTCAACAGAATAGAAAGTAGATAATTGGTCACTTAAAAAGTAATTTAGTTTTTTATAACTAAAGGTATAGTGTATGCAATAAACTGTTCGGTCATTCAGGGTGAGGTTGCTATAATTTACTAAGTCTATTATAAGTGATTTTGAATTTTCCCCTTGGTTTATGATCTTATATTGATGATTACGTCCATGGTAACAGACAAAAAATAAGTTGGAATGTTTAGAATTATTGTCATGAATGTGTAATAGAAAACAAGACACTTTGTTTTTCAGATTTTTGTTTGTTTCAAGTTTGTATTCATAACTTGAAAACTTGTAAAGTATGGCTACATTTAGTGGAATGTTTAACAATGAAAATGACAAACTGTAGCTTCTATTACACAATATACTAGAACTTGCTCTATGTTCCAAGGGCCTTATTTGTGCCTTCTAGCATCATCACTGTACACACATTTTGTTTTATAATGGAAATTAAATTGTAGAAACTGTAGGTGTTCCATTTATATTTCTTCTATGTCAGTTGCTGAGAAGTTTTTATATTTCCAAGTGTGATTGTGGAAATGTTTATTTTGCATTTTGTTGTTAGGTATAAACAAATTGTTGGTTTGTTTTTTTTGCTTTTTCATGAGTTGACTTTTTTATCATTTAAACCTGGTTCAGGTAATACAGTACTCTTTGTCTTTAAGTCCACTTTATCTGATACTAATACAGCCATTCCAGCCTCTGTAAGCTTCCTGTTTATATAGTATATCTTTACCACCCATTTACTTTCAACCTATTAAACTGTAATTCTTGCAGATATATATTTGGGTCTTGCTTTTTTGTACATTTTGACAATCTCTGCCTTTTAATTAGAGTGTTTGGTTCATTAACATTGGATGTAATTATTGATATGATTAGATACAGTTTTACTGTTTTACTATTTGGTTTCTGTTTGTCCCTGTTTTTTGTTTCTTTTCTCATTTCCTGTTTCTTTTGACAATGCATTTTGGAATTCTCTTTAAGTTATTTATTTAGCTTTTCAGCTATGTTTTCATTGCATTTTGTCTGTGTGGTGATTCTTGGGATTACAAATTTGCATTCTGAACTAGTAAGAGCTACAGTTGTACCACTTCAGATATTGTTGTAGAAATATTGCAACCAAATTACCACTTGGTCCGTTTGTAACCCTCTTTACCCTTTCCTCTTTGATGTCACATGTATTACATCTGCATATGTTATAAATGCCACAAGGCCGAGTTGTAAGTTTTTGCTATAAACAGGCAGGTTTACTTGAATTACTAGGTGAAAGCCCTGGCCAGTGTGACTCGTTTGGTTGGGACATGGCCCTGTGCACTGAGAGGTCATGGGTTCAATTCCCAGTCAGGACACATGCCTAGGTTACAGGTTTGGTCCTGGTTGAGTGCATACAGGAGGCAACCAATCCATGTTTCTCTCCCTCTCTCTCTCCTTCTTTTCCCCCTCTCTAAAATCAATAAAATAAAATCTTTTAAATTACTAGGAAAAAGTATGTTTTTTACATTTACCAATATTTACCGCTTCTGAAGCTCTTCATTCTTCTCTGAAGTTCCTACTTTCTACCTGCTTATCGCCCCTCAGTTTGAAGAACTTTCTTTTGCATTTCCTGTTTTGCAGGTTGCCTGGCAACTCATCCTCATAGTTTTAGTTTATTTGTGATGTATTTTGCCTTCATTCTTGAAGAATAATGTTTCTGAATATATAATACTAGACTGACAGTTTTTTTCCTTTCAGCATTTTCATATAATTGTTTTCCTGTATTTAAAGTGTCATTTTTTTCTGACTTTAATGATTTTTTTTTTTACATTACTGGTTTTCTTCATATTTACTAGTTCACTGAACTTCTTGTAGTTCTTGAAAGTTCTGTCTTCCACCAAATTTGGGAAATTTTTAGCCATTACTCAAAAAGTTTGGTCCTTTCTCCTTGTCTTCTGGAACTCCAGTTATACGTGTGTTGATCTTTTGACATTTAGCCAAAGGTCCCTGAAACTCTGGTTCCTCATTTTCTAATCTTTGTATTTTTCAGATGGGGAAATTTTTACTGGCATATCATCACGTTCACTAACTTTTTCTTCTATCACTGCCATTTTGATTTTAATCCTTATCAGTTCATTTTAAGTTTCAGATCATATATTTTTCAGTTCTCAAAATTAATTTGATTCCTTTTTATAGTTTCTATTTGAGCATATTTTCATTTACATCTTGAGTATAAGTTTAATTGCTACTTTTGAGTCTTCATCCTTTCTAACATCTGAATCACTTTGGGTTGGTCATTGTCTACCTTTATTTTTCCTGAAAATGGGTCATGTTTTCCTGTTTCTTTGTGAAGTAATTTTATGTTACAGAGACTCTGTCTTCTGTTTTATTTTTTAAAGTATGAATTTTTAAAATTTGTTTTAGCAGGCAATTCATGGTTAGGTTCAGACTGCAAACTGTCTCTTGGGCAGAAGTTCAAATCTTTGGTTATTTTATACTTAGCTAGGATTTTGGGGGGGGGTTCCTGCACATGTATATGATTCATAGATCAGCCGTATATTTGAATATCAATTCAAATATCTTCAAAGGATCATTCACATTCAAAATGATCACTTTATCATTTAAATTATTTTGATAGATATTTTCCATAAAACTTATATTTTACATAAAATGTCCACTTTCTAGCAAATATTCCTTTCATATTTCCTCTTCTTACTCCTTCTGTTCTTTGTGAAGCAGGAGACAGAATCTGTACTTTGATTTTACATTTAACTCTGTGCCATCGGTTTTCCTTTCTGCTCTATCTCCTTTATGTTTCTTTCTCTTAAAAAAAATTACTTTTTCATTACCTTTAATTCTTTAATCCTTTTTGGGTGGTTGGAAAGAAAGATTAGGAACTTATATATGTTATTTGCTTTGTTTCTCTTTACTGCAACACATTATACATTTGCCCAGCCCTAAACCTCAGGAGTTATTAAGTATCTGAAATATTTTGGTTAATATGTAACGAGTTTGAAGAAGTGAAAGCAAGCACACTGTATCCTCATTCTGTTGGGAAGGTACTGCTTGTTGAATTTTTAGATGTTTCAGGATGTTCCAGTGAATTAACAGGGACTTCTGGTGGTGTCAGAACTGCAGTGATGGTGAGAGTAATGCGGTTGACAGATGGTTCTGGTCTGTAGCCACTTCTGCGTGTTTACCTCCCCTGAAAACTCTGCACCACAGTGCTACACTGTATCCTTGTTAAAAACTTGGAAAACTATTTGCATACCCTCAAAGCAAATTTTGAGGTAATAGTGACAGTCAAAGAATGGAGGGTGTATTTTAATGAGATGTAAAATTCTACAAAGATTAGCTCATCTTTATTTTTTAATAAAAGAGGAAAAACAAAACTTAAACTTGTACTCTTAGAACTTTGTGAGTAATACAATAATCGTTTAACTCTAGGTTTTAGTGTGTTCCTTATTGTAAAGCCATTGTGGTACTACATGCTTTTTTAATAACTTTCCCAAATATGATTCAAACTCTGTTTTTTAAATAGCTTATGAATGGTAGTTTATTTGCTTTTTGCTTTTTGAAAAAACTAAATTCTTCAGTTTTTATGTTGTCGTAGTTTATATATAAATATTTTAGAAAACATATCCTTGGTTTGTATTATGCTTCCTTGGAAAACCCGGTTGTATTAAATCTTTAGAGGAGAGCGATCGCGCTGTGGGGTTATAGATGGAGGAAGAGGGCACCATAGGATTCTCTACCGTTTTACCGTAGCTCACTCTTGTACTTACACAGGTGGGGACGTGGTTGTTATTGTGAGGTTAGGTGGGTTGCTTTTTTGTAATTATTATTAATTTTTAGATTTAATGATAGCACTTGAAGATATTTATTTGATATGTAGTTGGGAAAACTTTGTGTGTTTATATGACATATTACAAATAGTATATTGTTACTTGTTGAATAACACCCTATGTTTTTAGCTCATTTTATTGTGTAGAATGTTCTGTATGATCCAGTAGTACAGGTTTCAAAACTCAAAATATTTAGTATATTATCAAGAAAAATTCATTAAGGAACAGAACACAATCATTATGGTGCGTCACAATTTGAAGCATCACATTGCTTCAAAAATATTATTTGTCTGTTTCAATATTCTTTTTTTCCTTTGCTATCAGTGTTCATTTAAATATAAATTTCTTAAGTCATCTAGGGTTGCCATCTTAAAGAATAGTAGCTGTATTTTTGAAGTTTTTAAAACTGTAATTAATGTAAACAGGCTTATTATACAGATGCAAGGAGTTAAAAAAAACAAACTCTGAAAAGCAAATGATTTATTCAGGGTTGTAGACTCAATGGCAGGCTTGTGCCTGAACTCAGTTTTCTTCTCTAGCCTTGTATTTAGTCCGTACCAGATGTTTTCTGTATGAATAATGTTGGCCCATTAACTGACCGATAATTTGTGAATGAACTGATATTTCCCAACTTTGTAATTTACTGGTGTTTTCCTCATTGTAATAGAAAAAAGAAATCATGCTACAGTAACTAATTCTTTCCCTACACCCTTTTTTTTCCCCTTTAGAAAAATTGGAAGCTCCACCACCCACCCCAGGACAACTGAGATATGGTAATGGTTCTGTCATTGTTAAGTATTGTGCATCTATCTTTTGGACTTGGAATAACTATTATCACTCAATGATAGTACAAAAGAGTCAATAAATTAATTCTTTCCAGATAGAAGGGGTTATCTTATTTATTATGCCAGAGCAAAAACTTTATAAACTTGGTTTAAGACTTACCACAATATACAGCATTTCTAATATTGTTACCCATATATAGTATCGTTTAAATATTTTACCATCCCGAAATACAATTACACGTATCATAGAGATTTTCCTAATTTCCAGGAAAAAGGATATACTTACTTTAGCTTGGATTTAAGTTGGGTGACTGCCCAGCTAGGATTCCTAGGCTCAAGGCTGGTAGGACTGTTCTCTGGTGGAGAAAGTCGAGGTCACTGAACCCACCAGGCGGAAGGGCCTTAGATGCTGCTGGCCTGCCGTCCTTGCCCTGTGTGACAGGAACACTTGTTCCAAGGCCGACACCGAGCAGTGTGAAACAGTTCGGGAGCTTGTTATAGGGACATCGGAGGAAGAGAATTATTTATTAGTGCAGTGAACTTTAGTAGGTTTTGAAGTTAAAGCTAAATATGAGATGTGATTTGCTGGTGACTGCTGAGTTATAGAATAGTATTTCCCAAAGGAAATTGAAGAAATTACAGATCGAAAGATCATTACATACTGGAGAGCAAACGTACAGTTTTTTAAAAACATATTTAAAGTGCTTTTTTTCTCTCAGAGATAGAATATAATTTATGTTAGAAATAAGTAACTGTCCCCAAATACCAAAGTAATTTAAGAATTAAGACTTGAGGTAACCTTTCCTGATTCTAGTAGCCTATAGTCATATATTCTGTATCCATAGCACTGTATACTACTAGTATCATTTTTGGTCATATTGAGATGAACTGCTTATGTGAATGTGTTATCATAAATGTCCTGAGGTCTGGTAAACAAGTCTCATTCGTCTTTGTATCTCAGATGCCTAGTGGAGTATTCAGTACATTTATTTAACCTTTTGAAAAGTATATTTTTCCTTTGGGTTGAAAATAAATTTTTATAGGTCACATTTATCTAGGTCTGAACATAAAAATTTGATATATTTTATAATTCAGAGTTAGAATAGCAACCTTCCTAGGTGTTATTGACCAAGTGTTTACTAATAGCAATTAATCTAATCTTAGTTTAATAGCCTTAATACATAACTTTAAGATATTTGTAACTGGCCAGTTTTAGAGATGCCAACATGTTAAGTAATCCCAAAGATTTGTGGTTGCTTTGTCGTATTTATATTGAAAAGACAGTTGAGAAGATGATTTGGGAGGCTTCTCTCCAGAGATATATTTAAGTAGTTTTTTCTTCACCCTAAGTTGTTTCATTCAGTAAATTTAAAAAATTTCATTGTCCTCTTTTGACCTATCAAATTTGTATCATATTTTTTGGAAATTGAGATTGTGTATATGTTTTGGCTCCTTATAAAATTTTGAATGTTTAGTAGTTAAGCAACTAGACTTAAACAAAAACTCAAAGAAATAAGACTAGACTCTTTAATAGAAAAATCCCACTCATTATGTGCAATTTGATTTTTATCATCTTTAACAGGTTTTAAAATAATTTTTATAATGAAAAGATGTGCTTTTTATCTTAGACATTCTTGCTTGATAACAAGAAAAAATCTGAAATGACCTAGGATATATACTAATTTCCCTTGATCTTAGTCTTTGATAGTCATTGTGGGTAGAGGGGTTTTTTTTTGTGTAGGTATTCTAGACTATTTATTAGCCTTTTCTGATTGTCTCATTATAGTAATACCAAACCTTCATAATTTCTGGATTATATTTTAATTATACTATCTGTGGGTGTTACTGCATAAAAAAAAAAGAACTCTAAAGTCACTGAAACTGAACACATAACCAGTTGGTTTATGGGACTTTGTATTTTGGATATAGTATAAAACTAAGAGCTTTGATGTTTAACTTAAAAAAAAAAACCCTCCTTAGTTGAACTGTTACTCACTATACCTTGGCAGTTTTATAGATTAATTAGAATAAAGTCTTTTAACTATCCCTAGCTTTTAATCTGTTCACAGTCAGCCTTCAATTCTCTCAATCTGGAATTCCCTTCCTTTCCAGGTTAGTGGTACTCAACCTACTTAGTTAATGTTTATTGAGCATCTACTATGCACTAGGCATTCTGCAATATGCTGAAGATGCAAACATGAATAGAATGAGACTTAAGTGTATAAAAATTATATAGGTATTCATCCTAGCTACACTTCTATTGTCTCAGGTTATTCAGGTTATGTACAAGACAGATGAGGTAAGGTGTGCCTTTGGTAGGAAGAGGCCAAGTTACGTTTTGATTTCAATACAATATTGTTTGTTTATAGTTTGTGAAAGTATTCAGGGATACTGGTGCATCATGAGGGGAAACAAGACTTTGCACATAGGCACCTAAAATATAGATGAGATAATCACATTTTTCTAATGTTTGTTTAAAAAAAATTTTTAGTGAGCAAAAGTGACCAAATAGCTTCCCTGAAATTTGATTCAGGGAATTTTTTGTTATTTCTAATGTGGAGATGAATTTTATGATATGGGTCTAAGTATAAGAGAGAAACAGATTGATGTCAATATCAATTAACATGGTATTCATAATATTTATTTACTTATTCTGCCATTAACTATATGTGATTTGTGTGTGTTGCCAATAAAAAACAGAAAAGCCTAACACAATTGTTTTTACATGTTACGTGTTTTTATTTATTTTTTCCCTCAGTATAGCTTCTCCCAAGTAGCGAAACTGCAGCAGGAGCAGGATCTTATGGCTGTGGGGAGTGGGGAGCAAATTCCAGAGCTTATCAGATCTGTTCAGGAGGCTTTAATCATACGGTCTGTTTTGTCATTTTAAAATTGTAGAAATCCTAAAATATGTTTTTCTGTTTTTGATGTTTTTCAGTATTCATCCACAATGCGATACCTTTCATAGGGTTTGGCTTTTTGGATAATGCAATTATGATTGTTGCAGTAAGTTCTTTCTCTCACCCCTTCTATTTTGAGTAAATAAAGAAACTTATGTGCTCTAAGTTTTTCTAATAATTTGCATATTGTAGCTGAAGTTTTCGTTAGTATCATAATGAAGCCATTTTTTACTATATTTTATCTTAATTAGACTATAGCTTAATTTTAAAGCATCATATATATTATCCATTAAGACTTTGTGGTAAAGCATGGACAATAATAAACACATACATATATTGCAATGGTCTATATTATCCTGTTCTAGTTTCAGCATTCTTATTAAGTAAAAAAAGTATGTAAAATTTTCTGATGTTCTTTAATTGTATCAGCAGTTTATATCACATATGTTATTTGATTAGTTCCTTGCTCAATTTTCCCATGCAAAAATGTTCTAAAGGGTATTTTTATATAGTCTATCTATCCATTTAACCAGAAGATGTTCTAAATTTCAATTCAGAGCACTGTGAATATACACCTCTTGTGTCTTCGCTGTAATGTTGGAACGAGTTTTCCTTTTCTGTGCTCAGTGTAAGGGTGTTCTTTAAAAGTGGTGTTTAGTCTCAGGGATGGCTGGTTTCTCTTTTTTACTGTTACATGACACCTTTTGTTAGTGGACCCCAGTACTGGGTTCAGATTCTAAAGTCGGAAATAAGCCCACGATTAAAATGCACCTATGTTGAAACCAGCCAGTGCTCTATCAGTTCTTTTAACTGACCCTAACTTTAACGAAAGTCTATGAACTCTAGCCATTATGTGTGACCCGGATCCTCAGTCCCGGTCCTGGAGCAAAGCTCGCCTTAGCCCCTCCTCCTGTCGCTGGGCCCGCCTTTCTCCCCCACTTCCGGACCTCCTCCTGCCCCCAATCCATCCTGGGGGGCGGGGGGGGGGGGCTAGTGAAGCTCACCTGAGCTCAGCCTTAAAAAAAAAGTAATGATTTTGGGATTCTTGAATATGGGGGAAATACATAGGAGAGATGTAGAGTTTTGGGGTTGGTTCGTTTTTTGGGTTTTGGAGGTCACATGTATTACTACAAGTGGAGGTAAATGGAGTATTTGGTTTCAAAATTGGGATAAAAGGATAACTTACATTGTGTAGATTATAATATTTGCTTAAAGAATATCTAAAACTGGCTCATTGAAGAATGGTTTTCTTTGGTATATAGTCTCATTTGTGTCCAGATTGATGGGAATCAGGTGTCCAGAAAGTCCAGCCTTCACCTGGCTCAGGAATCCGACAGGGTTCCCGCATCAGGAAGGTACCCCACCCCCCCACAGTCACGGAAAACACTGTGACATGCATCCAAGCTGAAGGCGTTCAGCTCCCCTTGGATCATTCCTTCACAGCGTGGTCTGGCAAAAGCCTCTAAAATATTTCAGAAGGCTAGTGTTTTGACTGATTTCAACGTTTTCCTAATATGTATGTAAGAATCAAATTGGCCCATTTATGTATCTGTGAATGTGGAAAACTTAGCCAGTTAGAATTACATGGTCTTCTCTGAAATTACTAAAATCTGAATTGGTTAGGTGATTTAAATAGTTCATGTAAGTCAGATCTAATTGTAATGAAAACTTTGTTATGATGAATTTATAAGCTGTAGTCAAGACTTGTGTTTCTTCAATACATTGTCTGAATTAGAGTCTGTGACAAATATGTCTTTTAATTTTATTTGACTCACTCAATAATGTAGATTCTCTTTACTAACAGCTGCTAGCTTCCGTGCTGCCATCTTAAAAATCTTTATTTATTTATTTTTTTTTACCTCAGCAGGGCAGAGCTTAGATATTCAAATGCCGAAAGACTGACCTCGCTACAGGGAAGTGCTTCGATGATACATTTTGCATAAAGAGGGGCTCAGGGAGACTCTAAAGGGAGATCAGAATTAGGGAAACGGTAGCTTTTTAAATCCCAAATAAGACCTTCACAGTATGGTGCTATCATTTGCTCGAAAATAAATATCTAAAGTAACAGATGCTCGCGTTTAAATAGAGCTTCCAACAAAACAAAACACCCACATTCTAGAGTCAAATTATTGCATTATTGTTTGCTACTCTGTGAGTCTCATTATTAGTGTGAGAGTGGACTATTTTTGCAGGCCCAGCTGGCCAACTCCAATTTAGTGATATTTGTTTTTCTGGTTTGCACTGAAATCCAGTTTCAGGGATTTATCACCAGGTTATCATTTATATAATACTAAAATATTTAAATCGCTGGCTTCAATACCTGATTGAGAGTGATAGGTATGGCAAAAATATTATCCTGTAATAATTGCAAACTAGTCGAGGGACAGAGAAATTTTCCAAAGAGGCTTTATACTACACTGCTGAGACTAAAATACACAAATAATGTAACTATAGCATCTATGAAAAGGGCAATAAGTGATCAGTACTATTACAGGAATTTTTTTACTCAAAACAAATACCCAAACTGATTGCCCCTCACACTGGGGACAGCTGTGTCTGTTGTAAGACAGTGAGTTAGGTATACTGGGCTCAGCTTCCCTATCATGACGTGGACGTTTGGTATTTTCCTCTTTCTGAGCTGTGCTCTCTGGGCTGCTGCTACCCTAGTTGTAGTAATAAAGACAAATTTGTATATAACTGCTGGGGATAGAGTTGACCTTTATTGTTAACTGCTATTCATACTAAGCTTTTGGTTCTATAGTTTTTTTTAATTATGTTTTTATACTATGGGGATTTTTTTTGTAATTTAGTGGGGTTTGGGATTATTTTTCTTGCAATTTGATTAGGATAGAATTTGTTAGAATTCTAGAGTAGATTAATTGTATTAAGGTGACAAACCAGGTATAACTTTAAGACAAATAGTGTTTGATTTGTTTATAACTTCTAACTCACCTGTTACATGAAATCTAATTGAACTATGCAAAAAAGTCAAGGAGGGGATTGTCCGTTGCCTTCAAACTGACTTTGACTTTATATGAGGCTTTTTATGCTTTTAGAAGAACCTTCAGCTTCTTTAAATTTAATTAAATGATTAAGCGCTTAAATACTTTCGTAAACACATATATTGCACACAGATTCTTCTTGGGTCATTCCTAATGACTCATGGCTGTTAAAAGATGCTGTATTTATTTTTCATGCACTGTAACTGTCAGGTGCTTCTCTTCAGGATTAAAGCTCCAGTGTTGTTTCATTTTTATGTCCCTCTATGAAGATACACGTCCTCATTCTTTGTGCCCGATCTTTGTTTTTATTCAGAAATCTCTTTCTTTAGGTACCTTTACCACCTTGTAATTTTAAGTACCCTGGAGACTTTGGTGCATCAGGTCTATAGGAATTGGTCTTAAAGGGGTGGAACCAAAAGGCTTAGGGGAAAGAAAATTGAGGAAAGCTTAACTCAGCTTCTCTTCAGTTTGACAAATAATTGATTAATGCAGTATTTCTACATACCAGATAGGGCATTCTTTTTTTGTCTTCCACAAATATCATTCAGATTTTAAAAGCACTTCAAGCATTAGTATTCAGGAGAACTTTAAAAAATTAAGTCCATTTATGGAAGCATTGCCCAAGGATTAGAATTGAACTGGCACTGTGGATCCTAGGATTTCTTCTTTAGTCTGTGTAATTACCCACTGGAATACCTGTATTTTGCCGTGTGTAGAGGAATGAGATCGAAGTGGAAAGTCTTAAACTCTCTTAGTAAGTGAATGCAGTGGAACTACAGCGGAGCCTCATTTGTGCTGTGGCTCATTGTATGTAATGGTCTTGTTACTCCTTAATGAGTCAGATTGTCTCTTGACTTACAGACTAAAGAACTGTTCTAAGGGTAATTTTTGAAGTTAATGATGTTCTGGGTTCCTACAAACTGGTTTAGCCTGTCTTTTTAATTATTTATAGCATAAGTAACAATAGTATTGATGTAGCATTCAGAATTTAAAATTTAGGTGAGTGTCGTCTTTGTGCTGAAAGTTCTTTAAAGCAGCCATCTCTGGGATAGGAAAACATAAACCCTAGATTCTCAACAAATTGCTTTGTGTATGTGTTGCTATTTTTTATTTTTCTGGAAAGCTAATTTTAATAAAGAAAATATTTATGTTATTTCTGCATGAATGCATATACTTAATAATGAAATGAACCACTGTGTTATATGTGCATGTTTCTGCATATTTTTCTATATAATTTTGCTGCAGTAATGCATTTGACTATTTTACCTATTTCTATTAATGCTTTACTATTCCTTTATCATCAGAACTTTAATATTTTGAGATTAATTTCTTTGTGATCATTTCTCAGGGAACCCATATTGAGATGTCTATTGGAATTATTTTGGGAATTTCAACTATGGCAGGTATTTAATAATAGTAATATTATTATTGTACTGTGTGTTGAAAAGCCATTTTAGTAGGTTAGGTTTAGAAGAGGATAATTTATTGGAATGAATTTACTCATAAAAGTGTCAACTAGTTTGCCCTGGCCAGCGTGGCTCAGTCGGTTGGGTGTTGTTGTGCAAAGCAAAAGTTCGCCAGTCAGAATCTGGTCAGGGCACATGCCTGGGTTTGTGAACTGGTCCCCAGCTGGGGCGTGTGTGAGGAGAGCCAATGGCTAGGTGTTTCTCTCACACATCAGTGTTTCTCTCCCTCTCTTTCTCCTTCCTGTCCCCTCTCTCTAAAAATAAATAAAATCTTTAAAAAAATGTCTAAAGCCCTGGCTGGTGTAGCTCAGTGGATTGAGCGCGGGCCTGCAAACCAGACAATCGCGGTTCGATTCCCAGTCAGGGCACATGCCAGGGTTGCAGGCAGGTTCCCTGCAGGCCAGTTCCCAGCAGGGGACGCACGAAAGGCAACCATACATTGATGTTTCTCTCCCTCTCTCCTTCCCTTCCCCTCTAAAGATAAATAAATAAAATCTTAAAAAAAAATAAAATAAAATAAAAAAATGTCTATTAGTTTATCACCTAAATCCTATTCATTTAATTCTTAATTTTGTGTATGTAACACTGAGAAATTTTAGGAACTTTGTTAGTTAATGGGTAGCAATAATCTACTGTAATAACTACGTTTAAAAAAAGTTTTGCTTTTAATTACTGGTTACCCTGAAACCTTTCCACCCTTTTTTCCCCTCTATTAATTATTTTCAAGTTGGGTAGGAAAATCAAAGAAGGAATTAAATACATGATGGAAAATCTATTTTGGCTCTATCTTCATCTTTTCCCCCAGTTAACACTCTGTTCACGATGGTGGAATTTGGGGATGGTTCTGTGTCGTACATATTGCGTGGGGCATATGAACCCAATGAGTTAATGAAAGAGACATTTTTTTCTTGGCTTTCTTGAATTTCAGAGCTGTGCATATAGCTTTACTGTTTTCCAGATATCTGAATTCCCTTTAACAAATATTGTCTGAAAGTCATAACTACAAAATATTGTACCTGTTTTAACATTGAAACCAAAATGAAAACCGGCTGCCACGACAGGAAAAAACCCGACTCCTTTGATGGAGGCAGAACACTGTACTCTCAGAAGTGTGTTCTATTTTGAGTTCTTGAGATGAGAGCTGTCCAGTGAGTTACTTTGAAAGCAGACAGTTGTTTCAGTTTGAGAGATGCTTCCAGACAAGTGATTTATTGGTTACAAAGTAATGTATTATAATGATTTTAATGACTTCCATGTAGCAATTCACTTGTCATTTTCCACTTTTTTTAGCTGCTGCTTTGGGGAATCTTGTGTCAGATTTAGCTGGACTTGGGTAGGTGCATTCATTTCTTCATTTGTGCATGTGTGTACTTGCTGTCTTTCTCTTCTTCATTCTCCTATAATTAAGGAGGCTAAAAAAGGAACATTTATTTGTGTGTGTGTTTTAGAACTGAATTTTAAAATTTCTATATCAGTAGTACTAAATCTTTGCCGGGCACCAAATATAGATGCCTGGGTCTCAGCCCAGTCATACGGAATTAGTATTTCTGGGGATGGGGCCGTGACATTTGGGTTTAATAATCTTCTCAAGCAATTCTGATATTAGCAAAATATTTTCTAAAACGATCACAATGCAAGCAGAGTTAAGTATTTATATGTATGTATTTTATATACATTTCCAAGGCTGAGATAGGATTAATAGTAGGAACTCCTATCGTTATTTCAGCCCAGAGGTGAGGATGCTGGGAATGTTTTCTAGAGAGAGAAACTTTTCCAGGGAGCAATGGCCAAAGCACACATGTCTGTGTCTGGCCAGTTTTTGTCTTTTTACTTCATGTGGCAAGAATGATGAAACAAACCGAGGACTCTACTTAGAAAAGCCCAGTTCTTTCTTTCTACTTTTATACTCATTTCCAAGCGTCAAAAGGCCTGGGCTGCTTCTTGAGCCTGGGGAAGTCTGGGAAGTATAAATTGGACTAAATTGGCATTAATTATAGTGATAAATACACTCTCTTTTACTCAGTCTTTGGTTCTGTTCTTTCCTTCCCTGGCTCACTGGAGCGGGAAGTTTTGAAATTTAGACTTGGGGCCAACAGAAGTCTACTCGGCCCTGAGATGCAGGCAAATGCAGCTTTGAAAGTGAGCTGGGGTTGGGGCCAAAGCTGAGGTTAAAACTCAAGTTTCTTTGCTTCGGGGCCAAGGCGGAACGTTCATATTCCTAGAATTTCTGGGATAAATCTGTAATGATATCACTCCTCAAACATTCCATTTCCCAGTTTCCAACTTGAAGTTAATAATGTTACTGGAGCTGCTGCAATAGCTTTTTCTACATTTAATAGAATGAATCAATTTAATAGATTTTAAGGCCATTTAGCTTTAGATTGCTTCATAAAACAATTGTTTTTTGTTTATAGATAAAGATTTTGTTGGAAGACTTTATATTTGAGACCTATTTCTTCTCTACCTTAAAAAAATCATTAACACGTATCACAGTTTATCGGTTCTTAGATACACAGTTTTTTTTAGACTTAATGTATCTGACATTGGCATTTTTTCTTTTTTATAGTAGATAAAGTAAGATTGTATCTAATAAGTGATGGTAACTTGGAATTGATAAATGCTTGAGATTGTCCTGAAAATTCTAGGCCATTTTTGTCATCTATCTGATCAATTTTGGAAGTTTTTGCTTTCTGATAATAAGTATTAATTCATACCATAAATTAAAAGGCTTTACTTTGAATTTAGATTAAATGCATAAATTGTCATTGTAAAAAATTTTCTATACCTTGGATTGGCCTTTTTAAATTAATAGTAGAGAATAATTTCTCTAAGTCAATTAATTTACCTATGTACTAAATATAGTAATATGAAAATAGTTTTAAACTGGATATATTTATGCACAATAAAAAAATGAAAGTTTATGAAAATGTTTATAGCATTTCTAGGGTGCCAGTTAATTACAGGTATAAAATTATTTTGTTTCTCTTTGTAATAATTAGCTTTTTACTGCCCGAGGATATTTTTGTGTCTCTTTAACAACCTGTGTTCTGTCCTCGTGTATTTTGAAGACTCGCAGGCTACGTCGAAGCTTTGGCTTCCAGGCTGGGCCTGTCGATCCCTGACCTCACACCAAAGCAAGTCGACATGTGGCAAACACGAGTTAGTTCGCACCTGGTAAGTCTCCACGTGGTGGTGCATTCGGGTGGCCGGGTCAAGTTCAGTCCCTTCTGAGACAAAAATTTATTCAATTGTCCAGGCCTTGGCAGTTTTCAGTGAAAAAGTAATTTTTATTGACTTGTTTTTTGTAGGTGTACTTGATTTTTTAAATTTTCTTCGTATACTTCATTTAATCTTGAGGTATTAGTTATATCTTAGCCATAAAGTGAATAATGAACGATAGTTCTCTTTGAGGATGGTTTGGGTAGAGAACCAGACATTTAAACAAATTATAATTTAGTGGGACAGGTACAGTAGTAGAATTTTACACGAGATATAATAATAGCACAAGTAAATAATAAACACTTTGTGGGGAGAATTTTCTTTTGGTGAGGAGATTTCTTGGTGATTATTAGATCTAAGCTAATTTTTTTTTTATTATTGGTGAGACATGTACTAGGTGAACAAGAGATTCCAAGTGTATTGACCAGCAGGCAGAAATCATGATAAAAGCAGGGTGTGTTCAGAGAGGTACAAGAAATTGGGTGTTGCTGGGGTATAACATGCAGTGGTTGTGGGTAGAAGCGGCAGTAGAACACAGCACGGGAGCAGCAAGAATGGATCAGACAAGAGAGACATTTTCCTGTCGATGTGTAAATCATGCTAAGGAACTTGAACCTCACACCGAGGTGATGGAGTGCTGTTCTAAATAGGAAGGAAGGGAAGTAGGTGGATCCCAGTGCCACCAATTAAGTCAAGAAGAGGAGGGGGAACATGTTTGTAGGCGAGGAGAATGAGTTCTGTTTTGGGCATGTTGCATTTGAGATACTAGTAGGACACTCAAATGGTGACACCTAGTAGGCATTTGGATTAAAGGTCGAGAGTTACAGAGGTCTGAAATAGAGAGAATGATGTTATCATTCATTCATTCATTCAACAAATATTTGTTGTTTACTTATTGTATGCAGGGTGCAGATCTAGGCGTTTTGAATATACTGGCTAATAAAACAAAATGTTTTTTTTTCTGGTGCCTCTTACTTTCTAGCAGCCTGAGGGGAGAGAAGCTATTTTAAAGCCCCGACAGATAAGATATTTAGTATATTAGAAGTTCACAGTGTTATGGGAATCAGAGAAAAAAGAAAGCCGAACCGAGTAGAAGGGTGCTAGGACAGACACAGACTGCAGCGGTACACAGGAGGGTCTCTGCGGGCCTCAGTGAAAAGGCCGGTGATGGTTAGAACCGTGTGAGAAGGTGATTGTGGAGGGCAGTGGTTCTCTGCGTGCGATGCCACGACCAGCGGGATCCGCATTACCTGGGAGCTTAGTAGACGTGCGAATTCTTAGGCTCTGCCTTAGACCTATCTATTGCTGTATAAAAATTACATGGGAGTGTGTGTGTGTGTCCATACCTGCAATTTGTAGATGCACTGAAGCGATAAACTAGCTAGCTAACATCAGCAGAGGTGTTGAGGGGTAAGGATGTTCTAACATTCTTGTAATTGGGCTTAACATTTTACTGCCACCGTTGGGACCAAGAGATTGTTTTCCTGGGGTCTTCTCACATAAACAATAATTCTGTTTTCTTTCTATATTATAAGTAGGTCCCTTTCCCCTCTTCTATAACAAAAGCACTTCAGTTATTAAGCTATTATTTTTATATATGTATTTGTGTGTGTGTGTGTGTGTGTGTGTGTGTGTGTGTGTGTGTGTGTGTTTTGATAAAACTCCATAAGCATATTCCTTAGTTGTTGACTCTGCTCGTTTTATGTTAGGATCAAACCTTCTGTTCGGTACCATGACATTTGGTGGTGAACAGGCTGAAGTTGTAGTGGTTGAGGTTAGTGACCGGCCATCTAGTTATGACATGAACTAACTCTGAAGTTCTACATAACGGAATATATGCCAACAACACACATGCAGCTTCTAATGGACATATGTTGCATTTCAAAACCTCGTTTGTAATTTGGTTGTTTGAAACTCTGGAAATACTATTTTTGCAAAACAGTATCTCAGATGTACTTACGTCCTTAGTTAACTCCAGTATACTACAGTTAACTACAGGGTCTGGTATCGTAAGATCTGAAAATCATACATGTGAGTAACTGTTCTTAACAGTAGAAAAATGTGTGTTAGGTCCTGAATCAGGGAGGCAGAAAAGGAAGTCCCATTTCTTTATGCCAGTTGAGATAACTGGGTTGGTGCTCATTGACTGGCATTTCTCCAGTGCGGGGGAAGAAAGCCTTGGTTTTCATGGACGATAGTAGCAGACGTTCTAACAGGGTGGGAAGAAGTGGAGTCTATTAGCAGTGGTCATTTTACATATATATAATGACCCATATATATATGGGGAAGTCAGGAATCTAAACTAGAATGTGATCTCTATAAGTGTACATAAGTAACAACATCATCTAAAGTCAAAATAAGAATCAAGGTGAGGTTTTTTTCTTGTCTTCTGACATTAAAATATATGTACAATTTTTAATAAGTGTTTTCTAATTAAATATTTCTTTGATGTTATTTTTATGGCCATTTGATAAAAAAATTTCCTGGTTGTGTTGAACTTTAAATAGCATTTGTTCTAAAATTGTTTCGTAGATTCTTTTTTGTAAAAGACTTTATTTATTTATTTTTATTTTTAGAGAGAGGGGAACGGAGAGAAAAGGAGAGGGAGAGAGACACTGATGTAGGAGAGAGACATCGATCGCTTGCCTCTCGCATGCCCCCAACTGGGGACCTGGCCCCCAACCCAGGAATGTCTCCTGACTGGGAGTAGAACCAGTGACCTTTCAGTGCAGAGTCTGGCACTCAGTCCACTGAGTCACAGCAGCCAGGACTTTTTTTATATTTAAGTTACTATGATCAAATGACATGCAGTCGCAGTTAAATTTTATAGTACATAGTAATTGTTTATAGTAAATACTTAAGCAAGGATTCCTCTTACAGGGCTAAAATAACTTTAAAAAAATGTTTTCTTTTGTTTCCTTAGGGCAAAGCCGTTGGGGTGACTATTGGCTGCATTCTAGGAATGTTCCCCTTGATTTTCTTCGGAGTAGGTGAAGAAGATGAAAAACTGGAAAAGAAAAACTAGCCCTCTTACAGTATCTATAAAAAGATGTAAACTAATGTACCTCAATTATTAAATCTGCTGTCGCGACATTTAGGAATTAAGACAGTAACAGTGTATAGATACGGGATCAAATAATTTTAGCATGTATCGTGGAAAACACTAACTTATTGTGGTTTGGTTTTCTTAGGACATCTTTTTAAAAAAAAACAGTATCATTTTGTGTAAATTGTCAAAATGCTTTTTCATCAATGGCAGTCAGTGTTTTATTTTTTCTTCTCTTTCTTTGTCTATCCAAATATCATCTAAGTATCAGTTGTTGGTGTACTGTACTGAATTGGGGTGTGCCTGTTTGTTACTTAACGTGTACACGCATGAAAGCACTTTCCGTTGTGTGCTGTGTAGCTACAGTTCAGCCTTAAGATTTCTCCAAATTACTTAAGGTGTTTAATATCAGTTGAAGATTTTTTACTCTCTTTCTGGCAACATCAATTTTGTACTGTTTCACAGTAAACATTCACAGTTATATAGTTTGTCATCATTTTTTATTCCCACATCTATTCCAGATGGATGTAGACTTTAAATATTTTAAGTTTTCATTACTTATTTTAATTTTCTAACCTTACTGTCTCAAGTGCCAGAGGTCAGTCAGAGTGAGCAATTAATTATGTGGTCTCCCTACTTACATAATACCATGCATGTTAAGTGTATTATGGTTTTTAACTCCTGAGAGGAAGAAAAATATTATTTTAGGGTCTTTTTAATGATGATTGTGGAATTATAGGGAGCTAAGGGGTTTGGCATGACACTTGGAAATTGAGACTAAAAAAATTTTTTTTAGAGAAATAGAAAATGGGAACTGTCAAAAAGGTTTATAATATAAAAGGTAAAGTTGAAAGGATGTTTGTAAGGTTAATGAGATATAATTTATATAGTTTGGGAAGGATTCCTCCCCCCACTCCAAAGTGTGTTGTTATCTGAATTGAGTGAATCTGAGTCCTTCCTACTCATAATTCTGGTGTTGTTGTGTCTTATTTAGAGAGTTTTATTTCTGGATAACTTCTTTTGAGGTGAAACTAAATATTATATATACATATGTGTGTATATATACATATATATATCTTTTTGGTATATATAGTGTAATTGTCAAAAGTTAGATGAGTTGAAATTCTTTTTTTTTGGTCTTTTTTCTTTTGTGGTATTTAAATCACATTCTAGGCTGAAGCTACTTATTTCAGTCTTGTATATCTGACTTAAATATAACCATGTGGGAATCATAAAATTTGATTTTATGAACACTTAAAGTTGTTACACATGCTACAAAATTACTCTTACTTGTAAGAGTAACTAAACACATCATGGAGGAGAAAAACAAATTAAAATTATTACTTGGGCCGCTGAAATTATTTATGTTGATAAATAGATGCAAAATAAAGGCAATTTTTAGGGTGGTGGTATTTACATCCACCTTACTTTAAAATTTTATTTGCATGTGTTGACTTTGAGCCCTTTTCAGAGGAGCTGATTTTCCCCACTAGGCAATTTGTCACCAATTCTCTTTGGTGCCCTTCAAAATAATTTAGTATTATCCTTAAGCATGGGTTTTTGAAGGAAAAAAATGAATCCTGTGATGTGACAATAAATATATACTATTCTTATATACAGATACATGACAGTCTCATTTGATCAAATTAGAATTATAGAACTTGGTATCTTATTAAACAGGATGCCATACACACACCAAATTTTGTTTTTATTATTTCAGATGAGAGGACTAGAATGCTTATTAAAAATTTTTATTTATATTTCTGTGCTTTTGTCCCTAACTTGACCTTTCTGTTTCCTGAAAAAGCATTTTATTGTGGTGCTTACATTTTTTTCTTATTAATTAAATCCATATCCAGAAACCTTGCCTGCGAGTTGAGAAAGGGCTTTGAGTTTTGGTTTTTTTTTTCATTTTTCAGTTGAAAATAACCCAGCTCTACAAAATCTTTCAGTTTAGTGAACATCTATAGAGTTACTTAAGGTACCCAAACATGTAACATAAAATCTTCTTATTGAAAGCTATTTTAATTTACGACACAATAAAAATTTGCATCATTTAGGTAATTACTTTTCAAAAAATGGGACCCTTTTGTCTTTAACCTAAGATGAACATTTTTTTCAGGATCTTGCTCTATATTAGTATGGTGCTTTGCACAGAGTGATTTCTGAAAAATGGGTCCCTTTAAGATGATTAATTTATGGAGTCATTAGTTTATCTGTCTCAGAGAACCTTATTTCAGATTGAAACTGGAATCCTTGTTCTCACATCAGCTATCTACTTACTGGGAGAACTGTAACTGGGGTTAAATGCAACATGAGCTACTTTTTAGTACTGTTCACTTAAAATCCATGTCGTCATGTGTTATGATTTATTGACTTCTGGGTGCATGTAAATTGGGTGCATTTTGTTGCCACTGTATGTTAAATGGTGACCAATGTTTTTACAAAAGAGTTGAACAAAAAAGTCTTTTAAGAAATTTGGAATGTGGTTTTGATTTTGAGGTTTGATTTTCTTCCTAATCTCTGAGAGTTCTGGTTATTGTGTCACCGAAAGACATAGGATTAGTAGATGCAGATTCCTGAGGGAGTGGAATGGGACGATTGTCACCTCACTGAAATCCACACTTGCGGTACAACATTACAGTTATGAGAAAAGAATGATCCTATATGGAGATAATTTATCTTTAAGAGGGTGGCAAAAAAAGCTGTAGAAAGATTGGCGTAAATTACACTCATGGGCATTTATAGCAGTCCTAGTCAAGCCTTCTACATAATAATGCCTCACTTACTTTGCTCCTTTTCTCTAGAAGGTGAGCTCTGAAGGTAATGGAAACTTATCTTTACGACAAAAGTTTGCCCAAACCATTTCAAAGTAAATCTTTCTAATTTTAGAATTATATTTTCTTGCTGTCTTAAGAGTGTATTAAATATAATGTAACCTTTTTCTTAGTGGCTAAGCATCATTTTCTTGGACCTGGGTATTGTGTGTTAATGCAGTATCTTGGGAATCTGGATTTTATTTCTCATTTTTCCCATTTTTTTTTGCTGCTCTCACTTCTGGAAACTGCTTTGTTTCTCTAATTTGCTGCTTCCAGGCTACTGGATGGTCTTAGAAACTAGATAGCGAGTTTGACCACATATTACTTGGGAGAGATTAATAAATCGACTATGGAGACTGAGTGACATGGCGATGGTGATGATAAATACAGTGTTAGATCCCTTCTGTTAAGCACTGTTAGTTGCTACGTACTGTGATGTTTTCCACCCATTAGCACATTTCATCACTTTAATAACAACGATGAGTTGGTGCTGTTATTATGCCTGTTTCCTGCCGGGTCAGTTGAGACATGAAGAGGTTGATTTGTCCACCAGGCCACCACTAATGAGTGGGCTGGAATCGAGCTCTGCCCAAGTACAAGGCCTAAGTGCTTGACGCCTGTGCAATGGGGACATGAGTTGCATGGGCTTTGTAGTGTCCCTTCTCTGGTAGGTTCCTTTTTACCGGCCCGTCTGTGGAGTCACTTTCTCGTCTGTAACCTAGGGGGGGATTGTACTTACTCTCTCAAGGTCCCTTTAACAAATCCTGTGTTTTGGTTGCATGCTGTGTGCTAGGAACTGTTCAAGGCACCGAGTGAACAGCCAGAACATCCCTTGCTTCATAAAGCTTATACTGTGGGGGAGGAGAATACAGAAAAGCAAATATATACTAAATGTATTTTATGCCAGATGGTGATAAGTTCTATAGCTATAAATGCCCAAGGAAGACAGAAAGTACCAGTGGTCATATGTAGGGGCGGGGGGCTATTTTTATGTAGAGTGGTCAGGGAAACCCTGAAAGCTATGAGAGCATCAACAATGCTGCAAATAGATGGCATCGTGCTAGGTTCTAGAAAGTGATGGTAAGAAAATATCCAACATGTGAAGTATATTTCACTTTGGAATGCATTGACCATGTTTTTGGGTTTTTCGTATTATTAATGTTTTGTGGATTAAGCTGAAAGGTTAATATTTAAATATTAAGACTAATTCCCCTGCATATTTATGGACATCAGTATAGGGAAATGACCCAGAAGCATGGGGGGGTACCCTGGAATTCATAAAGTCAGTAGGCGATTACCTACTGACCATCAGCAAATCATTGGGGGTTTGTTGTGTGCTCATAATGAAACCTTATTAACAGATCGCGTTTCATCAAAATGATAAATGCTATTGGCATATGAGTTGTAACACTGAAATTAGTTTTTTTCTCCTGTAAGATTTTTGAAATGGAATAGTAATTAAAACAGGGACAACTTAATTTCACTTTTGATTTTGAAGTTTCAGGACTCTGAGAGTCTACTGATCTCACGCATACGATACCGTGCGTGCCATATGAAGCACATGGTATCATTTGAGCAATTTTTTTAAATCATAGAAAGATTAAAGAGTAGGCATCTGAGGGATTTTATAATGTCCCTACAACTACAAGACAGATTTATTTTGTTTAAATGAATAAAGTGTGAGATGATGACTGAAGAGGTAAACTCAAAGGAACTACTTTTGCAGGGAGACGAGAACTCTCTAGAACTGTAGGATAAAGGAATTTTTATGAGAACAGTGAAATCCATGGAGACTTGGCTTTTGCTATAAATATGAAAGCTACACATTTATATTGTGCTTTATAATTTATAAAATACACAGATGCTAGACATAAATGGAATTTAAGGGGTAAGTGAGTCAAAGAAAACTTATGCACTTTAATGAGAATTAAGACTTTTTCCTTTTTTACCGAGGTATACTTGACATAGAACATACTAGTTTCGGGTGTGTAACATGATGACTCAACGTCTGTATGCAAAGTGACCACACTAAGCCTGTTTACTGACTGTCACCCTACAGAGTCACAGAGTGTTTTCTCTTGTGATGAGAACTTTAGAGTTTGCTTAGCATCTTTAAATTTTGCAATATAATATTATTGACCATAGTCACCAAGCTGTGCATTGCATCCCGATGACTTATTTGGTGACTGGAAGTTTATACATCTTGATCCCCTTCACCCACTTTGCCCAGTACCAAACCCACTTCCCTCTGGCAACCCTCAGTCTGTTTTCTGTATCTATGACATTGGTTTTGTTTTGTTTGTTCTTTGTTGTTTTTTTAGATTCCACATATAAGTGAAATCAAACAATATAGTTTTTCTCTGACTTATTTAACTTAATAATACCCTGAAGTTCCATCTGTGTTGTCATGAATGGCTAGATTTCTATTCTTTTTTATGGCTGAGTACTATTCCACTGTATATACATATGTGTGTGTGTACAAATATATGCATACATACACACACACCAAATCTTTATCCATTTATCCATAGATGGATACTTACATGGTTTCCATAGCTTGACTACTATAAACAATGCTGCAATGAACATACAGTTGCGTATACCTTTCAAGTGAGTGTTTTCATTTTCTTTGGATAATGCCCAGAAGTGGAACTGTTGGATCATATGGCCGTCCTATTTCTAAAATGTGAGGAATCTCCGTACTGTTTTCCACAGTGGCTGCACCAATTTCTATTCCTACCAACCATACATGCGTGTTCCCTTTTCTCCATATCCTCATGCAGACTGGTTATTTGTTGTCTTTGTAATAACAGGCATTCTGACAGGTGTGAGGCGATGTCTCATTGTGGTTTTCATTTGCATTTACGTGATTATTAGTAATATAGAGTGTCTCTCCATGTACTTGTTGGCCATCTGTACGTGTTCTTTGGGAAAATGTCTATTTAGATCCTCTGCCCACTTTTTAATTAGATTTTTTTTGTTATTGAGTTGCATGAGTTATTTATATACTTTGAATATTAACCCCTTATCAGATATGTGATTTGCTATTTCCCCCCATTCAGTAGGTTGCCTTTTTGTTTTGTTGATGGCTTCCTCTGCTGTGAGGAAGCTTTTTAGTTTGATGCAGGCCTGTTTGTTTATTTTTGCTGTTGCCCTGGCCTTTGAAGTCAGATCCATAAAACCATTGCTAAAATCAGTGACAGCAAAGCAGACAAAAGCAAATAACAACTATTGATGAGCCATTGGAATATCTTAATAATTATAGCATTGGTATAGCAAAATAGGTAAGGGCAACACATTTCCCAGTTTTATAAAGGAGAAGAGTTGCAATGCTGTGTAAGTAACCAGACCTTTAATTAAATACAACTCTTCTGATTCTGAATTTAGGCCCCTTTTTCTTCCTTCAAATATTATAGGGTTACATTACGGAGAGGGGGTAGATAACTTGGGGGAGGGTTTGGGCATTTAAAAAAAATTTTTTTTAAGTGTATGTTATTGATTATGCTGATACAGTTGTCCCAGTTTTTTGCCTTTGCCCCCTCCACCCAGTATACCCCTTCCTTTCAGCAATCCCCCCCTTAGTTCATGTCCATGGGTCATGCATATAAGTTCTTTGGATTCTCCCTTTTCTATACTAGTCTTAACATCCCCCAGTCTATTTTCTTCCTCCCAATTATGCTTCTTGATCATTGCGCCTTTTCCCCCTTTCTCCCCCTTTCACTTTCCTGCTGATAACCCTCCAAATGATCCCCATACTTATGACTTTGTTCCAGTTCTTATTGTTTGTTAAGTTTTTGTTTTTATTTTTAGATTCAGTTGTTGATAGTTGTGAGTTTGTTGTCATTTTAATGTTCATAGTTTGGATCTTTTTGTTAAATAAGTCCCTTTAATATTTCAAGAAATAATGGCTTGGTGATGATGAATTCCTTTAGTTTTACATCATCTGGGAAGCACTTTATCTGCCCTTTCATTCTAAATGATAGCTTTGCTGGATAGAGCAATCTTAGATGTAGGTCCTTGCTTTTCATGACTTCGAATACTTCTTTCCAGCCCCTTCTTGCCTGTTAAGTTTATTTTGAGAAATCAACTGATAGTCTTATGGGAACTCCTTTGTAGGTAATTCTCTGCTTGTCTCTTGCTGCTTGTAAGATTCTTCCTTTATCTTTAACCCTTGGCATTTTAATTATGATGTCTTAGAGTGGGCCTTTTTGGGTCCAACTTGATTGGGACTCTGTTCTTCCTGAACTTGCATGTCTATTTCCTTCCCCAAAGTAGGGGAGTTTCCTTTCATTATTTTTTCAAATAGATTTTCAATTTCTTGTTCTTTCTCTTCTCCTTCTGGCACCCCTGTGATGCAAATGAGGTCATCCCAGAGGCTGTTTTACTACCCTTGTTTTTTTGGATTCTTTTTTCTTCTTTTTGTCCTGATGGGTTGTTTTTTGCTTCCTTATGTTCCAAATCATTGATTTGACTCTCGGCTTCATCTACTCTACTCCTGTTTCTCTGTAAATTGTTTATTTCATTAGTGAATCCTTCATTTCTGACTAGATGTTTTTTATGCTACAGAGGTCCTCACTAAGTTCCTTGAGCATACTTATAATCAGTGTTTTGAACTCTGCATCTGATATATTGCTTATCTCCATTTAGTTTAGTTCTTTTTATGGAGTTTTTATGTTTTGTTTTGTTTTTTCGTTTGGTCCATGTTCCTTTGTCTCCCCGTTTTGGCAGCCTCCCTGTGTTTGTTTCTATGTTAGGTAGAGCTGCTTTGACTCTGTGTCTTGGTAGTGTGGCCTAATGGAGTAGGTGTCCTACAGGGTCCAGTGGCACAGCTTCCCCTGTCACCCAAGCTGGATATTTGAGGTGCACCCTTCATGTGGGCCGAGTACACTCTTCTCTTATAGTTGAGCCTTGGTTGCTGTTGGCAGTTTAGTGGGAGGAATTTACCCAGGCCAGTCAGCTGCAGGGATTGGCTGTGGCCACTTACCACCAACCTCCACCCTCTGTGGAGGATCACTGTGCAGGGGCAGGGTGGTGGTGCTCTGAAGTTGTTTGTAGCTGTCCACTGGGTACGTTGGCCCTGGGGTTTCCTGGGTGGTGCAGGCCAGGGTCAACCCCTCTTGTGTT